GGTGCCCCTGGGCCGCGGGTCGGGCTCGCAGGGCCCCGCTCCGGGCACTGCAGGAGCAGCGGGGGCAGAGGGAGAGGCCAGCGGGCGCCTTCCTCCTCCTGCAGCGCTGCCATGTAACAACGGCCATCTCTTCCAGGGCATCCTGAATTTGGGCACAAGTGAGAACCAGCTCTGCCTAGTACAGGAGAGAGTAAGCGTTGCTGGCTTCTGGCTTCACTGGGGTTTAACCGCCAGTTCGTCTTTGACAATTCTGAAGTGTCCGGTTAACAATTTAACACAGGCAAAGTAACTCCTAGGGTGGGATACCGACGGTGCTGTGACTAACAGCTTTCACAAGGAACCACCCTCTGTATGTTTATACGTACTGCTCCAACTGCACGCTCAGAAATCATTTGCCAAGTAATATTTACACCAACAGCTTGCCTCTGGTTGAAAACCAAAATGGTTTCGGTTTTGTTTAAACTTCATTTGATTGAGCATGTACTCCAAACAGAACTGGTACAAGAGTCTGTTCCTGTTTCAGCAGAAAATGCTGCTTTGGAATGCTAGCTTTCAGAAAGAAGTGTGTTTTCGGAGGGGAAAATCGTGGCCTGAGAAGATGCTCGCTTGTCTGATGGCAAAGCCAAAACTTCGGCTGAAAATGCTCCATGAAATTCAGACTTTGAGCAAAATTAAAGCTACAACCTAAACGTTATGCTGCTGCGCACCGCAGTAAGAGCCAGTCTCTGCAATGCAACTATGGGGAAACTGCACATTCTTTAAAGGCGGTATTTCCCCCAGAGTTATTAATTCTAGTTCATCTGCTGGAAAGCATGGTGTTCTGCCTTATGGGTTAGCAAAATGAAGACCTAGTGGCCAGGCCAGCTTCTGCAGCTTGCCAGTTACCTCTTGCTTCTCCTTCCTACTTCCATGAGGCAATGAATTTGCACCAGTGCAACTGCTAGTGCATTTGCAATGCCTGTGGTGGAGGATCGGGCATAAACTCAATGTACAGATTGGTTAGCTGATGACTTGGCAGTGCTGGCAGTTGGAGAGAATTTTTTTCCTTAGGAATAAACCAAAATCGATGCCACAATGAATACAGGACGCAGCCAATTGATGGGGGGGGAGCTGTTTTGGGAGCAAGAAAGCCGCTGCTGATAATACAGCTGGTTTTCTTCTATAACAGGTAGGGTTGCTGTCACTTTTCTTCTGTTGGTTGAGAAGCTAATCAAAATTGACATGTGAATTAAAAGCTGATATCATAAATATTGCAAGTGTTGTCTGAGCTTTGATATAGCTCAGAAGTGGCTGCATAATCTCTTAGGTACAACTGGCATGCTTTTCCTCAGTGTGTTACTCGGGACTTAGAATCATAGAATCGTTTAGGTTGGAAAAGACCTTTAAGATCATCCAGTCCAACCATTAACCTACATTACCAAGTCCACACTAAACCAATTAAGGGGAGAGTAGACTAAACCATGTCCCAAAGTGCCACGTCTGCCCGTTTTTTGACTTGTTTTAATATATGACAGAATAATCCAATAAATAATTCTTTCATTATTTTCTTCCTTCATTTTGATGATGTTTTAATGTTCTTTTCTAGTATCTTAAAACTAAAAAAGAGAAGTGCAAAGTATACACATAATTGTAACTCGTGAATTTTTATATTCTCCATTTCCTTAATGTTACTGAATAATGGGGGTGGGGGGGTGGGGGGGGTGTTAAATAATCAAGTTCTGCTACAGCAGAACAGAAACTCCCAGGAACGCTGTGCTCTGCAGTATCTCTCTTTCATGTCACTAGCTCACAAGACCTGAAATGAATTACCTGGTGCCTGCTCTTTTCCAGTATTCTGATATGCAATGTGCTTAAAGATAGAAGTTCATTTTCCCATTTATCGCATGGCTTGTTGTCCGTGCTAGTCATGGCTGATGTGAAGCTGGGTGTGGTATCATTCTTCTGCTAAGCCCAAGGGATAGGTGTGTTACTGTTACCTGCATGCTGGCAGGCTTTCGGGTTCCTGTGCAGCAATTACTTTTCTGGGTTTTTGTTCTGGTTTTCTCCTCACTGTCAATGTGCCACAAAGACCTGGAATGCGGAAGGTCAAAGATCCGGGGGCTTGCTGGCAAGCAAGAGAGCATGTATTGATGTGGTGAATCATACTGATGTGGTGAATTGCTCCTGGAACGATTCATTCCAGTCTCAATGAGGGATAAACTGAAACTCTGGGGGCTGGGAAGAGTAGAGGTGAAATATTGACTCCCTGAAGATTGATAGGAACTCCAGCATCGCCTTCACTCAGGCTGAAAGCCTGTCTTGATCTAAAGAATTGTCATTGACTCAGGTTTCACTGTTTCTGGTACCCAAATTCTTGTCCTTTCTCCAAAAACAGATCCCACTGTGGCTCAGAGATGCTTTTTTTTCTCATTTTTCTAGTGTACAGCAATAACAGTAGAGTCACAGTCACTGTTATTCAAGGTAACAGGATGGCTTCTGTGTGCTGCTGTCTCACAAAATGTAGCACACTGGATATCTGAGGAAATTATGTTATTTAATCAAAATCTTCAAGGCTTTCATAACAGGATGAATTATGTATTTGTTATGTTTTTGGTAAGCTTCATTCTTCATTCTGTATTTTGTGCTTTTTTTTTTCCCCCCAGAGAAACACGTGATTGCATATTTGACTTTAATTCTGTATTTTAGCTTCAGAGAAGAAATTGCCAAATTTCTGACTATGCCAGAGCTACAAAAGCACTGAATCCAGAACATGTAAATCAAGTGCTTTATCTTTGCGTCTTATTTTTCTTAAACCGATAAAGATTAATAAATCTGAACACAAATGTCAGCAAGATACTACAGGAGGGATATATGCAAGATTTGTAGAAGTCTTAGTAGTGTTAATTTTCCATTTGAAAAAGTGGGCAAGGTGTAACACTCAAGGACTAGTGTCATAGGTGCAGTAGTGTGGCTTTTTCACTCTGTTTTTTTAATTTAAACTGGTGCTGATATTTATGAATTTAAATAACTGCGGATATTTCTGCTAAATATTTCATTGCTAAATGACAGTTTGTACTGTTTCTTTCAGATAAGTGTTACGAATGGCTGTTGTGCTGCTTTTGCTACTCTATCAACTGTATTATGTAACTCTGGTGGTGAGTAAAAACTTGATTATTTTACTTAAAAACATTTGCTAGCAGTGAATATAATTGTATTGTGACTTCTGACAGCCTGCTATTACTCTAACTGCCTGAACAAAGCAAGGCATGGTATGTCTTTGTCACTGGCAGAATGTCTTTGAAATAATGCCTCTATTTCTAGAATGGTGGAAAATGTTTGAGGTATGAGCAGGCCCACTCGCTTTCTGGAATGCAATCTACATTTTTTAAGAGTGTTATAGGAAGAGGAGAAGGGTATCAAGAGAATGCAGTGTGGCTTGAAAAGTTATGAGAAAAAGAGGTGGGAACCATGGTGGAAGCTGGATGGAGCAGGCACACAGGGAGGGAGGTGTACTGGCTTGAAATCTGGGACCCAGAGAAAATTTGGGTAACTGGGTAAAGAAGCCACATAGAAGGAATTAAGGACAGGGGAAAGGAGCTGCAGCAAAAGAGGGATTCCTGGTCAAGTAAGGGTGGTGGTGAGGAGGAAGCAGAGGTGGGAATTCAAAGCAGAAGGAGTGGAGTCCCTGGACACAATCTGCTCACAGAAGACATCGACAGAAGGAGGAAAAAGAGAGCTCAGGAAGGGAAAAAGGTTTCCTCTCTGGTTTGGAATGAGGAAAGCCGTGTAGGCGTGCAGTACAGCAGAGAATGGGGAAATCCACAAAGACCTGCCAGGGAAGGAAGTTGAGCAGGACGACTTACATGGCCTCCAGTGCAGGAGGCTGTGCCGCTCCCATAGCACCCTGTTACTGGCACCAAAAGCCCTTGGGAGGCGGGTGGAGTGGTGTACAGCAACGTGGTGCAATGACTTCAGCACGCTGGCGGCAAAAGCACTGTGAAACCGATTAGTTTTGTTTAGCTTTAAATGATAAGGCTACTTGTATCCGTGTCTATTTTAATATGTCCAGATTTCATTGCATTTGCACAGTTTTAACAGGAGCTTTTCCACTTGAATGCTGGCAGGCTCCTTTGTACCCCTTCGTTAACGTAGGAAGCCCACTCCATCCCCTCGGAAACTCTATCACGCAGGGCTTTTGCAGGATCTGCAGGAGAACACCAACTTGTGGCTACCTCACAGCAAAAAAATGAGGAGGGAAACAAGTTCCACAGTGCTGTAGGCTCCTTGGCTGCAAAACAGCACCTTGGCAACCAGGAAGAAGTAGTTGAGGTGTGCAGCAATTTCTGATAAAAAATTGATAGTAACAAAGCATTAGCAAAATATTGAGAGCAAGATCATTATTTGTCATCAGTATTTAAATAAATAAATACATATATACATAAATAAAACAAGTAGGTGATCAGGTCCTTTCCCTTTTACTGAAAATATATACAACTGTTGAATCTGCTATTGCAAATGCTAGGGAAGAATATTGGGAAAGAATTCAGGTTGACTGACGTATGCTAAATTTTCAGTTTTGTTTAAATATTGGTTTAGGTTACAGTGAAGGCTTTGAGATTAAATCAGATGTCAAATTCTTAGGTTGTCAGTTTAGTCAATTAGAGTATAATGAAATAATTGCTCATGATAAATATTCATTTCATTTTTAAATGTTTTTAGATGGGTATCTTATTCCAGCTCCATACTGTGGTGGTATAAATTTGAAAACATGGCTATATGGTGGAATACAGCCTGATCATGTGCCCTTGTTCAGTGAGGTTAGCTATTCACATACATTAGCAGACATTTCACAGGGAACAATCAAAAAAACCTGAAAATGCAAACCGAGTCCAAGTGAAGAGACGGGACCAGTCTAGCACTTTTAGAGACAGCCTGTCTTTTTCTCAGACTGCAGCGTGACAGGAGGCTGGTGTCGTCAGACGTGTAGGATTATGTTCGTTCTGTGCAGACACTGTTCTGCACTGACATGCTGAATTATAATTTGTCAGCTCTAAGTCTGTCACTCCAACTACGAGTAAATTTGATTTGCAAATTTTTCCCCTTAAGCACTGAAAGATGTATCTAACACGTAAGTTTTGTAATATTGGTTCCCCCTTTGAAAGCTCAGTAATCTGTGAGGCAAGTCAAAGAGGCGTAGCATCTTTTATAAGACCAAATGATACAGTAAGAGGGAAAAAAAGAAGTGATCTTTCAAGTACACAAGTTTTTCTGAAAGTTGCTGATAGTGAAGTCATGGATAAGGGCAACATTTAAAAACAAAATAATTGAGTTATATAGAAAAGACTGATTGTAGTTTCAGATTCTTTTATTTTATAAAAGCCAGTAGCAATTGTATTTTCACTAGGTGGGAGTGTTTCTTCACTGTCTTCTATTTTATTACTATTTTTTTATATTTTTAATTTTTTTTATTCTTGTTGATTGTTTTTGTTCTGTAGGTGACTGATGAAGAAAGTCACCCTTTCCACTTAACACCTGAAAGATTAGAAGATGCATTACAGAGCTAAAAGGCAGGTATCAATAACATTGGTTTCTGATTTTCATGTTTTCCTAGTTATTTCGTAAGCAGCATATCTTTTCAGCATTGAAACATTTGTACAGCTTCGTCTGTGCAGATTTTCAGTCTTGTGACTGAGGTGGGTCCAACTCTAGCTACAGGAGTCAAATCGATTTTATAATCTCGATTTTGTAATCTGGGCACTGTAACAAAATGGAGAGAAACTCCCTGTTTTATGAAGAACAGATCTTAACTTGTGTTTCAAGACCAAGTTTCTTTCTCTGTAGATTTTAATGGAATTCGAAGTGCTGTAAACAAGCTATTGTTCTGACCCTCAGAAGAGAGAAGATGCTACTGTAATGACCCACTCAGTTAATTAAAGAAACATGTCTAATGTGGTTTTGAAGAGGGTTCTTCTGAGTTCCAGCTAACAGGGAATTGCTAGCAAACAAAAAATTACAAATATAATTTTTCCAGAGTTTAGGAAACTTCATTAGTTCAAAATACTTAGCATGTTCAGTGGCTTTATTCTGATCGGGATTGCATAAATGAAGATATTATTGCTTGTCACATACAATTCTTTTTTTTTCACATTCCTCTCTGTCTTTGGAACAACTTGTCTTCCCTGTGGAAATATTTAGTCTTGTGAGTATCCATAAAATAGTGCTCACCAGTATTTCGGGCTAAAACATTTCCTATTCTTACTGTCTTGATATTCGTAATCCACTCACTCCGTGGAAAATTATAAATGCACTTAACCTTAACTGTTTGTGCTAATCCTTGAAAAGGTCCAGCAGAGGAAGCACAGGCTGAATAGTAAAACGTTTTACCAAAGATGTGGTGGTGATGGTAGTGATGTTTCAAACCATTAAGTGAGACAGAGTTCTTCTGTCTTCTTCCAGGATAGAAAATTAAGTTTAACAAGAGATAAAGCATATAGTTACAAGGAAGGTCACTTATAAAGGTCAGTTATAAGTAAGGTCACGTATGAAAAGTGGGTATTTTGGATATATGCGAAAGTGCGCATAACTTTTTTATAGATACGTTGATGCTATCCTAGTTAGCTAATTGTTTGATCAGCATGGTGCCTGTGTTTAGACACCATCTGTATGTCTGTGTTATCTGTCTGTGCCTTTGCCAGCCTGTGTGAGCCCAAGCATTCAGCCATTTACCACTTGATCCTAGCAGAGGGAGGCAGCTAGCATCCCTGCTGTGTTGCTGTGGCTGTCAGGACATGAACTGGCTGGACAAGGTGCTGGATCGCAGACCAGATTAACTCTTTAGAGATTGTGCTTGTCATCCTTCTAGAGCTGCAACTGTTCTCACGAATAATGTTATAAACACCTGCTTTGGATACATGTAATATCATAAATAGCTGGAGGAGCTAGGCTAGAACAGCAGTTGAGAAACTGCCGTCCCACAGCAGCTGTTCCTATGGACAATAATGCCTCACTCAGCATCTTCGGCCTAACATACGTCAGATGTCAAATACGCTAAATATGCTGTTGTGCAAGGAGTACTTGTGGAACAGCTGTTTGTGCTTAGTATTTGCGTCTTACCTTGTTTTCAGGTAACTTCTTCCCGTAGCTGGAATCAAAGGCAATACACTGAAAGTTAATTTCTTGTGAATATCTTGCTCACAGCACCCATTAATGTTCAAACAAAGACACATGGCAGGGAAAGCAAGTATCAGGGCTTCCTCATCATTGAACTCTATTTCCTGGAATTTCTTGGGAGTTGGTCTTTGCAAATAATTTCCTTTGGAGGAGGCTCGGGTGGAGTGAGAATTTGCAGTGGGTGAGGTTTTCTGAAAATTAAAAACGCAGAAACAAACAATAATTTAATTTCAAGTTTATCCCAACCATGAAGTAATAAGGCAACTCCTCATGTTGATATGTTTAAAGTCTTGAAAGTTCCTGCTGTAGTTATTGCACTGTTTGATTGTGTACAATAAAATATATATTTGCTGCATACAGCTTACGTTAATGTGCATTAAGGATTTTTTTAGCAAATAGAAAATGGATGATTTTTCTGAAAAATACCTGTACAGTTAAGATGACTGGTTATGTTTGTACTTGTGAGCTAAATTTTGATCACATGGGACTCTTCTTATTACACAGTAGAATATTTAGCTTCTGTGGAGAGAGAATTTCCATAACAGAGATTCTGCACTGTTAATAAATATAATTAAAAAGTAATTATTTGCCCAAGACCTCTGCACATCTCATAGAACACCAATTAATTCAATGTTAAGTCTTCTGCAGATTCTATTACTTGTTTAAAGGAACAAGCAACACTGAAAAATTAGTTACTTGGCAGGTTAGTAGATGTCAAAGTCCAGTTTCAGTTCAGCTTTCCTGTGTTTATCAACAGTAACTTTGCTCCATCCTGGGAAATTATTTTGGAATTATGCCTGTAGAACCAGTATTAATCACTACAACACCATAATCTGGCCTGTTGATGTCAATGGGTGTTTCAAATGAGTGCTAACCTGATTTTCATTGCTAATAAACTATTTAGTATGTTTTTTGGGGTGGTATTGGATAAATTATGAAACAAGGTTGGTAGCTGGAACCTTAGTCTGTACCGTAATTATAGTATGTAATTAAATAATTTTCAAAAGCTGGTTTTCACTGAAGGGTTCACAAACTTTCTCGCCGCATCCTTGCTAGTCATTGGTTTGATGTTATTTGTGTCTCCAACTATCAGTTTTTCTTTTTCCAGGGCATCCGAGTCAGAGCGTTAATCCTGATCAACCCTCGCAATCCATTAGGGGACACTTACCCAGCACAGTTACTGAAAGAATGTCTAGAGTTTGTGCGGCAAATAAAGTGCTATTTGTTTGGTATTTAATTTTCTGTTAATGCAAGATAGCAGTGCTGAAAAATCACCTTTGGTGATCACCTGATCTTTGCTTGTACGTGTTCAGAGAAGGTGGCGGACAGGGTCCTGATCATGTTTCTTGTGTAACTGTCCTATTTACTTGGCCTTTCTGGGAACACCGGAATAAATTGCTTAAACTGGGATCCAACGATGTCTTTCTAAATGAAATACTGGTTTGTTTGTTTTTTTTTTTTCTTTTATGTGTGGTTTAAACTTACAAAGCTTTTTATTTGCCTAACAATGTTTCTTTATTAAACTGCTTTGAAAATGCTTAGAATGGCTTAGAAAAATGACAACAGGTGATTATCAGTCTTTAGCAGTAGTAGTAAACATAGCCAGCACTGTCATTTGAAACATTATCAAAATAAGAAAATCTTAACTTTTGATATTGGGGAAAGTAATTGAATTGGTAAGAAGTCAGTCAATGGTCTGAAGTTTTGTAGCATCTTTTATATCTACTTAGCTCGAGATGTGCAAGGAGTTAACTTTCCAGCAACGGAAGATACCTCTGAAATATCTCATCCCCATTCCACTTCTTTTATCCTTAACCAGCTCAGAGTTCTTGTTCTAAGCTCTAACAGTCTCCTGAATCCCTTGGGTACTGATGGAGAAAAAACACCTCCTTTTGAAAAGCATCTGTATTTCTTTAGGAAAGATATATTCCTTTATTATTTATGTGAGCTTCTGCCAAAGAATGACAGCAAAATCCTGTACACACTTTGAAAGCTAACAATACTTAGGTTCTGACAGCCTTAAATAGAGTAGGTTGGTATTGATTGTTCATTAATTACCAAAGATTACTGGGGATAACACAGCATTCCTGCATTTTTGGCATGATTTTCTTTTCATGGAAACAGCAGTGGAGGTTGGTAGAATTCAGTGCGCTACTTCCAGTTACCAAGTTTTTAAAAAGGCAAATGTATATTTTCTCAGTATGCCCCATGGATTTCAGGATGCAACCAACTTAAGCTGGTACTAAATAATGTTAGAGGATAAGACTTAGAAACAATAATTCTATTTTTAATGTAAAAACTGTTCTGAGACCAAACTTTCTTTTAAAAAATTTATAGAATCCAATGATCAAATTAAATGAGGTTTACTTAGAAGAGGATACCTGCACTACTTGGGTGTTTAAAACCGTTCTGCAATTGTTTTCAGTACTTATAAGTATGTGCATGGCTTGTTGGTATCAAGTACGATAACATGGCTTACTGTTTACTGTGGCTTTCACAGCGAGAGCGTGTTAGAGAGTTAAGAATCTTAAGTAAGTGCATGACAAGTCTTTTTTAAAATCTGCATTTGACTTCAGGTCTCACTGGAGAAAGCTTGCAGGGTAAAGAAGTTTATAATATAACACTGTGTTCATTTTAAATTTTAAGTAAGAGTTAGGTGGGACCATGTGTATTCCAGAGAACCACCGGATTGAGCATGCAGTTGGTTTTTGTTTCAGATATATGGAATGTTATTGCTTCTGCGAAATATAGAATGTGTATAAATGGAAGTTGGTGATGCACAAGTGCTCACAGTACGCCTTGTGAACTCTTTGTGGAAAATTTGTAGGGGGAAGATAATAGCAAATAGGCATGCTTATGGAGACTTTGCTATGGCAGTAGTTGAGATCATACATATATATATGTGCAAAGAAATTTCTTTTAAATATGTTAATATGCCTGTGTTTTTCTATACGTAGATATGAATTGCATGTAATAATGGATGAAATATACATGCTGTCTGTTTGTGATGATACCACCTTCACCAGCGTTCTTAGCTTAAATTGGTAAGTGTGATTTCTTAGCAGGGATTAGGAGATATTTAAACCTAAATAGAACCCATGCCATTTTTTTCAAACTTCTGGTTAGCTAGTGTAACTGGTATAGTTCAAATGAACTCACATCCAAGTCTTTGCAACTGTGAGACTCGTTAATACCAGAGGAGATCTTCACAGACAGCTTTAAATGGCAAATCTCTTGCTTCCAGCTAATGTGTATGATATAGTAATAACAATAAAAATTGATAGAGCCCTTAGTCATTTTGCCACTGCTTTTCTTTGTTGTTCCCTGTTACACAGCCTGAGTGTGAGGTTCTCACTGTAATGGTAAAGAAATTGCCTAAGGTTGTGCAAATTCCCTGATTTAATGAGTCTCCTTCCTGACCAGTGAGCTGTTGGGCTCTTAGTTTGCTAACAGCTGATGAAAAGAATAAATGTTTCAAGAATATTTAAACCTGTTGGTATCTGACTAGTAAAACTTCTTTAACCAAAAGTATGTGATTGTCTTTGTATAACTGCATAAATTTCATACCAGTGGGAAATTTCCAAGTCCATCCATGTACAACCAAGCTCAGGGACTGACTGGGTATTGCCTCACCCACACAAGTTCATGAACCATAAATGAAACCTAAAAAAAAATTACTTCCATTATTGTGAAAGTTCACCCAGCTCCCTTAGGCTGAAGAAGGAAATTTCCAGCTTTGGCCTTACTTACATAAAGTTCCACAAAGGAGGAAAAAACGTCATCTGCAGTGGTACACTGAGGTGGATTTTGTTTAGTTGCACCTCACAGTGTAGATGCATGCCCTAAAATGTTCACTTCTTCTTTCC